AATACTATAGGTGTATATTTCCTTGTAGGAGATGCAATTCTGACAGCTGAAATACTTTATAAGAAGAAATGAACAAACAAGTCTAAGTTTAAAGATAGTATTGAGTGAACACTCTACAGGCCTCTGAATCATTTCAATAGGAATCAAAATTTTAAAAGTAGTGTTTAAACTATTCATAGTCTCTTTTGAATTTTAGTTTTAACAAGATATTAGATCCTTCTTTCAGGTCCATTATAGTTAATTCAGAGGAAGAGTAATTAATTGAATTCAATTAAAACAGTTACTGAATATAGAGAAACAATTTGTTAGTCAAGAAATGAAGGATGGATGTAGCTAATGTTTTTGTCTTGGGCTTTATTATAAACAAAAAAAAAACTACTTTTGGCAAAAAAAAAAAAATAATAATAATTTTTAGTTACTTTAAAAAAAAAAAAAAAAAGATTAAAATATACCAAGGGAGAGCATCAGGAAAATTGTGCATAGTGCATGCTGGCTCAACCACACTGAACAGAGGCAAGGAGAGAGCACTTTTGGTGCTGACATAAACGATGATTAGAAGAGACTACCAATACTATCTACTGGTCAATCTTCAAAACTTGTTTTATAGTCCACTCCTAAAAAGACAATATTACTTTCATTCCAAGTGTTGAGGTCTACACAGCTGCCTACAGTCTATTTGGATACTAGCTGTACAACCAAGAAACAACCCCTAGAAACAATGTCACATTTACATTAACAATGGAAAGTAAACACTCCAAAAAATAAACATTTGTCAATTGAAAACAAAACCAATAAAAAAAAAAAAAATTTAATTAAACCCAAAAATGCATTTAGTCGCAAATGCATGTCTGGCAATTTTAAAAAATATAAAAAATCAATCAGTTAAAAAAAAATGAAATACACATTTACAATATCAACCATAATCTACTTAGGAGATTGGAGGACATTAATGACATTCTGATAACAAGCCTGTCACAGTCATGTTGCATAATATACTAACATCTTATAATAAAAAAACAAATTCTATACTTTAGTTGTATTTTAATTATTTATGAATGCCAGAGACAAAAATTATTTGAAAGCCAATAAATGTTCACTGTTAAAATGCAGCATTTCTTTCAAGCAACTTGTAGTGCAGTGCTAGAATCAATGCAATATGTCTAGTAGGTAACATTCTCATTAAGACAACTCAGTGTTGATATCTACATAAATATATTTACACACATACAAACCAATGGACCCAAAGAAATCAGAAGAAAATAAATTGACTAAAAATTCTTACTGTCCTGAAGACCTCTGTATTGTTTACTCAATTTTGGCTAAGACTTTTGGCCTACAATAGTTTTATTTGGATGGAGGTGTAAGTAATGTAAATTTACTACTATATTTGAAGTCAAACAATCGAGATCAAATGTTTGAATAAAAACATAAAAAGCATCATTTCATTTCTTAGCGCATTTTAAGGTAAAGTCACTTCATCCCAACATGGTGTGCAGTAGAAACATGTGTGCTCACACCAGACAAACTAACTTGAGCTTTACAGGTGATATGTTTGATTATATGTACAGGCTTTAAGCCTAGTGTGCCTTACAACAGATTTCATCATAGTCATCTACAGATACCATTGTATTGGTATGTGTGACAGAAAGAACAAAATTCAGTTGTTCTGCTACCTAAATGTACTTACAAAGGCCAAGTAAAACTCAGTGAGTACTGTTCACACCAATATCACAATGTACAAAACATATAAACACTTATTCAAATTTAAAACATTCTACAAGACTCGACCATTAAACAATTTACACACTGAGTTGTAGCTTATAAGACTACAGGTCAAGACTGAAAAGTAATGTCAGAAAGGAGAGATAACCCAAGAAAACACTTGGTGTGGAGCATACTTCAACACAGCAGAACACTTAATGTATCAAGAACATCCTCTTTTAATATTTGGATGACAGCAAACTATCTACCTATACGTTGTTGTTTTTTGTTTAAATAAGCTCCAAATAAAGCATGATCTTCCAATGAAATGAATCAAGAATTTCTTGCAAGGGCTAATGATAAGCAAACAAGCATTTCAATGTAACAAAGCCTCAAGCTTTGTTCTAGACTGCTATGTAGTGTCAGTTTATTTTTACATTTGTTTCACTGTCTCCAAATATCTATTCTACACACTTGTAAACATTTACCAATGAACAACACAATTGTAACCACATACTATTGATTGTTTTATTTTGTTTCTGAAAATCTGGGCATTCATTAGTTTCTGGCACTATGGTCAGCCATTACTGTTTTGTTTAATGTGTTATACTGAACAGCTTTTTACACGTGTATTATTTTCTTTAGTAGATGTATTGCTCTTATATAGCACAAAACAATTGGGACATTACTTTGAATAGACACATTTCAGGAGATAACAATTGTTAATTTAATCCTTCTTGGTCACAACCAGGCAGTGGGGAGATCTAAGCACTGCAAATATTTAAATTATCCATTTAAAAAAAAAAAATAGGAACAAACATTTTTAAAATTATTTTAAAAGTTTTTAAGTTAAGTATTTTAAGACTATTTGTCTTTATTATGCAGTTAACATGCTTAAGTAGGCTGAAATGAACAACTGTCTCTAAAAAATAAAAGGGGGCAGTTGTCCCAGCATTTGTTATGTTTTCGCAATATTTTACAATTATGCACAAATGAAGTGATTCTAAGTTTCTGCAGTGAAATATTGAGTAAACTTAGAGTAAACAAACTAATAATGCTTTCAATTAGTCATACACAAGTACAAACTAGTTGTCACACTTATGTTTCTAAAACTTCCACTTTTCAGTTCTACCTGGTATATTACTTAGAAATGACATTAGATTCACTTTACAGAAGGATCTCTAAAACAATTATCCCCTGGCTGCAAAATGCTAGTGAGAAAAAACTACACTGAATAATCAAACTCTCAGGACATTGGTTGAATAACCAGTGTCTCTAGAATACTACAACTAAGAATAACTATTGCTATGAAAATACAAATCATTTAAGTTGTCACAAAAGAAAACCGTTGAATCAGCTACAAATAGGTTTAAAAAAAAATAATTTGAAAAAAAAAAAAAATTAGTATCATACTGGTATATTTTTTTATCCGGCTAGAAAGTTATTGTGGAATGGTTTATGGTGACATCGTTGTTTACAATGTCATCAAACTTCTACTTGCAGAAACATTAATTAGGAGGTAAGATTGTACACAAGGTAAGACTAAGACTAACTGTAACTAATAAACAACAACAAAATTAAAATGTTATTTAATTGCAACAAGTCCAAATGTATATTCTGACACAATATTTATTTTAAGAAAAAAAAACAACTGTCACGCATCAACATTAACCGAATTTGATTTTTTTTTCATTCCATTTCATCGCATACTACGAAAGGGAAATAATTTAGGAATGTTCATTATGTACAGCAAGTAGTGGAATCACTAAGCACTATGTACAGAAGAGCTATTACCTCCAGTCAACAAAAAAAAAGATTAAGCATTCAAATTGTTTCCAAGTTTGCATTCTACCCCATTCTCTGCAAAACATACAAAGAGATATTAGACACAAATAGACAGTAGGCCTAGAGACAATTAGACACAATGTACAAGTATCACTGGAAATTAAAAATTTTGCATATAGAGTAATCAAAATATGTATTTTTCGACATTGTAAAAGGACAGATCTGTCCTCTTGCTTATAGTGTGAGTGGGGGATGGCCAAGTCGTACTTTGGTATGGGCAGAAGTTTTGCTACCTGCACTCTACTGTAATTCTGCAGCACTAAATCCTGTTTCATCACAAACTCTTTATCCCCATCTTTGTACATGGGTCAAACTGGGAAGAGGAAGCGAGGATATTCTGCACACACACAAAATATTGAAAGCAGTGGAAGAGGTGCAGAAACACACTTCTGTTAAGTGCAGCTCTACTTTGTTTGGTTACTAGGTCAAGAACTCTGCCTTCACAAATGTTCTTTGCTGATACCATGAGAAATAGATGACTGAGACACACACATAAACAATACCCCAAATGCCAACATCCACAAATATCAAGAGTTTTTAACATTCAAATATAAGTACACACATACATTATGCCTCCCCTCCCCCCAACAGAAAATTTACTACATGATATGGAGACTTACAAAATGTTCTGAAAGTCAGTAAACCCATCTATTTTATTTACAAAATAATGTTAAAGGTGCCATATTTCAGTTTCTGACTAATCTATAATGTTCGATTGTCTAAAAATGTATCAAGGTAGTTTTCACTTAAAGATTTCCGTTGAAAAAAAATGTGAAAATGTTTTCATCCAGAAAGTTCTTTGAAGAAATAAACTTTTCAGCTGAAGAAAAAATAAAGCTTTACAGGTGATATCAAAGTTTCTAGACTTCAGTATCACATACATAAATGAATATCTATATAAACTAGGCAGAGGATAAATTATTTTTCTCTAAAGAATCAGATATCTGCTGCGGCAATATTATTATTCATATTTCTATATATTTCTCATACTTACAAATATACAGTTTTCACTTCAATAAATAACTAATTAGTTTTCAAGCTAAGCTAAATGTATTACTCGTCTAAGATTTTCAGCTCTCTCTCACACACTATTCTAGAGAGAAGAACATTAACAAATCTCTAGTCCAGCAGAGAAATGCAAATGTAGGGAGTCCATCAGAAACAGTTGATAAGGCACTGATACATGGAAACAAAATAAAGGACATATCTGTACAAGTTCATTTCAGACTCTTACATTCAGACATTACTAACATATAGAGTGAAGACAATGTTCAAGAATAAATAGTATTAGACATCAAAATGCTTTCATAATTCAATATGGCAATCTTGTTATTTCCCAATGTAAAAATTCTTTTTCTTTAAAAAAAAAAATGCATTCATAGAAACAAAAATCTGAACTCTGCATATAGACACTGGAAAACAAAACTTAGGAGCCACACAGGAACCACTCTCTAACTACCATACTGTAACAAATGCATTAGAACATGATTTAAGAAACAGAGAAACAGTAGCACATGCCAACAGTCCTGACCATTTATTGAGATCTGTTTAATGTGTTACTGTTACAACTCCCTTTTAAATAGGCTCCATTAAAAAAATAACATTTGTATAGACTTGAAATGAATTGTTCACGTCTACAAAATAACATTGTCAGTAGATAACAAACTCAACTGTTAATTTGTCTTTACCTCTCTGTGTTATTAGCTAAATCTAAACTATGTCTTGGGGAAGAAAGATGATCATGGACCAACATTCATTATAGATTAACTGTACAGAGCTTCATACTTTGAATAATATCAAGTCAGGATAAAGTGTGTCAATATCATAACAAGAATGACACCTAATCTTTTGTAAAATCCTTTTAATTTGTTACACTCATTATTACAGACTCTAGCACCAAAAAAAAAAAAAAAGCTTAAAAAAAAACTAAGAAGAGAAATGAGGTTATCCTTTGCACTTTAAACTCTCTTCTTGTCCTTGCCAGATGCAGGTTTTGTGCTGGGCAAGCCTTGCTGCCGAAGAACCTCTTGTATACCCCGCTCAGTCACTTTAGTGTATGCTTGACTTAGAATCTGAAAAACGAAGAGACAAATTAATTTCATTGAAGTGAAATAACTAATAAAAGAACTGAAAAAGAAGAGAAAAAAAACACTGTAGAAATAAAAGGAGGCGCAATAGCTTAATGGTAAAGCACTTGGCTTTCAAACTGAGGGGTTCCTGGTTCAAATTCTGGTTAAGACAGATTTTTTATTTCAGGATCTTTAAGACACTTCTGAGTCCACCCAGCTCTAATGGGTACTTGACATTGGTTGGGGCAAAAAGGCGGTTGGTTGTTTTGCTGATCATGACACCTTCGTTAATCTTATCCCAAAGAAACAGATGACCTTTGCATCATCTGCCCTATAGATCACAAGGTTTGAAGAAATAAAGCATTCGAAATTTAAAACAGTAAAAATATTATACAGTAACCCTATTGATTAGTAGCTAGAATGGCCACAAACGATTCTTTCCAAGTTTTCAAACTAATGGTACCCAACTAAACTTAATTGGCATGGTCAAGCATTAGGGGTGTGGTTGCTTTAGGTGGTGGTGGGGGGAGGGGGGGTTTTTTTTTTACAAGTTGATATCCCAGTGAAGAATGAGATTTTGCACTTCATGATTTTTAGGACATTTCTTCCAATTCTAAAGGGTAAGTGTCATTAGTTAGGGAAAATAAAGATGGCCATTGTGCTAGCCACATGACACCTTTGCCATGAAACATGTCTATCTCATGGATGATAAGGTCTGAAAGGAGACACAGACAGAAATGCAGAGCCAAGCCTTCAGCCTCCTGGATGTCGGAAGTGGTCATCATCAACTACAATAGACAAACTATACAGAAGACTAATAAAACAAGGTCTAGAAAAATGCACTTACATTCTCCCACAGCAAGTCTGCCAGCTGGTCTATAGCAATAGAAAGACTGCGATGTTCCCCACTGTATCGAGTGTATAACCAGGCCACCAACAGAACCAGGAAGATGATCATTACCAAGTTGATGAGATTGGCAAGCATCTCCAAGCCACACATGCCCATAAAACCAGAGAGGATGTAGGTCACCACGATAACTGTAAACAAAACGGAGGGAGTCCTAGTGGCACTAAAAAAGTTTTTGGAGTCGTTGTGTCTGGAAAAGTTCTCAAAGGCTTCCGTCAGGTCTTCCTTAAGTTTCTCCTCATAAGCCAGACTGAACTCTGGACCACCCATTTTGCGAGTGGCATGAAACATGTCAATGCTCTGCTCAGCAAGCCTATTATGCTGAGTTCGGAGAGCTTCAGGACTGAGGTATGGTTTGTCACCACCACAAAGCTATCAAAAATATTCAAATGAGAACAGCATTAATAAAAAATGAGCAAATATAATAATAATGTTTTGTTTATATATATATGTGTGTGTGTGTGTGTGTTTACTTATTCACCAAACCTGTGTTAATTAAATTTTAAGAAGATTATTTGACTGTGATGTCACATTAAAAAAATCACACACACACAAATATGTGTGTGTGTGTGTTTGGTTATATATATATATATATATAAAGAATAATAAAATCAAACATGAATTTGAGAAAAGAAAAACATATAAAATATTTTTTTAAAGACAATGCTTACATTAAGTGTAATTGTATCAATTAGTTTGGGTCAGTCATGTAATTATATGTATGACTGACCTAGACATATAAATCTGTGTTATAGAAAATTTTTTTACCAATTGTTTTTCTTTAGGTTTTAGCTTTCTCAATGTGCTAGGATCCCATCACTTGGATTGTTTTGGGAGTGGGGGGTATCTTGGTGAATGTTTACTCTAGATTCCTCAAGGGAACTAATTCAACTTATACCACCACATCTATCAAGTATGATTTCTTTCCCAGATACCAAACAAATAATTAATTACCAATAGTTAATTAACTAACTGTTTAATTTTTTTAAAATTAATTCTTGTGTAAAAGAAATAATTGTGCAAAATTTCAGCTTAATCTGAGACTGGGTGAGGGAGAAATAAGATGTAAAAAAGTTTTACCAGACAGAGTGAGTTGATAAATTTAAAAACTGATTTCTTTTAAAAAAAAAAAAGTGATTAAATGAGGACAAGAAGATATACTTTTTTTGGATTCCGAACCAAAGGTCCCGCTTTCAAATCCTGGTGAAGACTGGAATTTTTAATTTCGGGATCTTTGGACACCCAGCTCTAATGGGTACCTGACACTAGTTGGGGAAAAGTAAAGGCGTTGGTGCTGGCTACATGACACCCTCGTTAATCGTGGCCACAGAAACAGATGGCCTTTACATCATCTGCCCCATAGAGCAATATGTCTGAAAGGGGAAAACTTTTAAGATATATTTTTAATGTATTTAAAATGAAAACCAGCACTAAATTAATGAAGTATGAAGCTTTGATGTTTGCTCATGCAATTTGATTGACATTCTATGATATACACACTTACATCCTCCATCTGTTTCATGTAGAAAGATTTGACATTGGCCACAGCTGCTAGATTGTTGGCTTCTGCTGTTGCCTGGTGAATACAAGAGCAGCACATGATATCTGACCTCACTACAAAAACTAGGTAAAGAGTTTAAAGACTGAATCTCAAGTTATAATTTAGCACTTAATAAATTATTTGTGATGAAAATGTTTTTCAAAGGTTCAATATTATAAAACTAGTTTGGGTTGTTATCCCTGCATAAATTGATTGATATACAATTAGAAAACAATTCAGAAACCTTACTATATCATTGCAGAAAGTCTGAACATTTTTGTAAGCTTTGATAAGGAAATAAAAAAAATGATTTTTTTTTTCTTGTGAAGTCAGTTGATGGAAACATGGTTATAAACTAATTCATGTCATTCTCTCCAGAACCACACTCTCATCATTAATTTGAAATGGACTTTTAGTCAGATCAAAATGATGTATTAAAACTATGTTTGATTTTCTTTTCTCCTAAAATCTTTAAACTTGCTAAAAATTATCAGCTATTGTTTCAAATGGTAAATGTTTGGATTCTTTCCCTTTCAACATATTTTTAAAGTAGTTGTGTTTAACACTGGTGCTTAAAATTTCTCTATTTTCATTTGCATAATTTTTTCAAATTTTTATGCAATTATAGATTTGTCACGGATGAATGTGTATGTATGTATAATCTATTTTTACAATCTGCGCAAATGACCGGAAGTGTGTTTTGTTGTCAGACGGAGAGACCAGCGTAAGTGCAGTAAAGATGATTAAAGTTTATGTGTTTGATCTAGTGGTTTAATTGTTTTATTTCGTTAACTAGGACTGAACCAGGGACACCTAGACGTATCAAGACCTAAGGTAGATTCTATCGAGTTATAAGTAGATAGAGTTATATAATAGGAAAGCTGTGACAAGATTAATATATTAAAAAATACATTTGATTAGATGTGGATCATGAAATATTTCCTAGATATAGTCTAAATCTAGACCTAGGTGAAATGTCTATAGTCAATAAAGTTTTTTATTTTTAATTTTCCCAATGCAAAATTTAAAATAAGTTTTTGAATTTATAAAAAATAGTGTGTTACATACAAAGGGAATGCATTTCCCTTTAATTCTATACCAAATGTAACATTTTCTGATTACAAGCAAAAAAGTTATTGTAAGTTTAATTATAGTAGTAGTGCTCTACAAGTGGGCAAAGTGAATAATTCTGTCAAAATGTAGAAAATAATTCAGGAGAGAAAGAGTTAAACATGTCTTAAAACCCAGTTTAATGTTTTCTATTTTAAAAATTCCTTGCTAAGCAGATATTTTTGGTTGGTATGTGAGGATGCAAGGCCTAGAAAATGACTTGCGCTAAGGTACTTTTACTAGAAATTAATGGAGTGACTAACTTGCAACATTGACTTAGGTTCTGGTAATTCTTCCCCTTGATAAATTTTCATATAGGCCTGAAACATGAATGCAACATATAAGCATAAGCAATAAACATTTCAAAAGATGTCAAAACTAGACTTGCTTTATAAACAAAGAAAACTGCAAGCTTGATTCATTAACAAGAGCTAGCAAATTAAAATAAAATGATTCTTGAGAAAATTAATTTGAACATTAGAAAAACAATAAATAAAAACAAACGTGTAAGCTATGTCATATTAGTTACGATTGAAATCTTGTGGTGTTTTACCTTGAAGTATTCCAACATTTCTTTACATCTGACCTTCTGTCCATTGATCTCCTTCACCACAATATTCTCCTTGGCTAGCAACAAAGGAGTGAGGATCTGGAGTTGTCCCAGGAACTCTGGCTCAATCTCTACTCAAGAGTGGAAACACTTTGTTTGTTACCATGTGTACAATTTTGAGTTTTAAGCATAGGTTAGTCATTTTTTATAAGGATGTTAACATTTATATGGCTCCTTCTGTCTCGGAAGACAATGGATGCACCCAGATGAGTCACTGGCTTTGTTAACATTTACTGTTTATAAAATCACATTCATCTTTTGAGTCTGTACATGTTTAATTAGACTTCACAATGTGTCATAATTCTATATAGATAGTGCCAACATTTTCTACAATTGTCATGTTTTCCCTCACATAACATTTGTTTTCTGACCTCTGTGAACGAGAGATATCCTGGGTCATTGTCGTGCTTAACTTAATGCAGTGGGTGAGGAGAATAGTGAACTCTGCTTGTCTTAGTTGGCAGGATGAGGGTAACTAGTGAACAGGAAAGTGGTGTAACCCTGAGTGATTTTGAAGAAAAGTTTCACTAAAACCCTTGTTAGGGGGGGATCACTTCTCTGTTTCAACATGGAAACATTTAATAGGCCAATAGACAGATTTGTATATTTTGTACAAGGTTCATCTCACCTCTAAGAGACAATTTTGAAAATTAAAAAAAA